ATTTTCCTGTTGACTAAAATGACACTGGGCACCTTTTTTGGCTCCCATTGGCCACCTGGATATTCTCTTCTGTAAAGTTCTGATTCAAGTCTTTTGACAATGCCTTTTCCTGACTGAGCTGTAGTTGTTTTTCTATCTTCTAGAAACAAGTCCTTTGTCGGATATGTATGCACTGCAAACATCATCCCCAACGTTTGCCTTTCTTTCCCCGAATGGTGTCTTTTGAAGAGAAGTTTTTTTATTTTAACAGAACCTAATTTATCAGTTTTATGGCTTGTGCCGCCTATCTCCTATTCAGGTTTTTTCCTCACATGGATCCAATTGGTCCAGAATCATTCATTGAAAAGATCTTTGCTCTCCTTTCTCACCACTTTGCAACGGCACCTTCGTCATGAACTGGATGGCCGTGGGTTTATGGGTCTCGGCCATGTTCTTAAAGTTTCTCAGGTGACAGGAGTCCCTAATGAAGAACAACCTGCTGGACAGGAGGTGACTGGGGACAACGCCTGCCCCTCCTGGCACCCAGACCAGGTGGCCCTGGGTTTTAGCTCCTGATGTACTGCCACACCTCTCAGCCCAGAGGCCTTTCACCTATGACCCCAGCTAGCAGGTCATGCCAGTTAGTTCTGTCCCCACTCTTGCTTCCTCCAGTCCCTTCCCCCTGCAACTGGAGTGATCTTTGTAAAAAGCAAATCTGTTGGACATGGAGCCACACGCCCTCCCCAGTTGCATCCCGTCTCTCTTCCCTTTGCTTCGGCACCCAGCCCCCAGCCCTCTCTCTGTGGTGCTCCCTGCTCCCGTGCCCTGGGAGACCCTTCAATATGCACCCGCTTCCCCTCTCTTCTAAGTCCTCATCATCCCTCAGGTCTCAGCTGGGCCACTTTCTCAGCTGCCCGTCCCCGAGGCCCCACCGCATCAGGTGGCTGCTGTGCCTCTTGAAACCACGATCAGTAATTATTTCCTGGTGTGATCATCTGTTTTGCCTGTTTCTCCTGCTAGATCTGGAGAGCACCAGGCGGGCGGGGACTGTGGCCTCCTCAGTCTCTGCCACGTCCCCAGCCTGGGCACAGGGCAGTTGCTGGGGCCGTGGTTGCTCACTGAGCGAAGGAGGCAGGCCACCTGTCTTTACCTTTGCAGAGGAACCGCTGAATGGCCTCGGTGCCTGCACCACACACCTCCGGTGGGGGGTAAGCCATGGACGAGGCATCCAGGCTCAGGGTCTGCAGACACAAGGGGGCCCCTCTTTATGGGTGTCGTTCACATCACCGCTCATCGCCAGTTACTCGTCTGTGTGTTTACTGTCTCCTTTGCCTGGCGGGGAGAGCTTCCCTGTCTTGATCCGGCTGTGCTCCCGGACCTAGAACAGTGGCTAGCGTGCGGTAAGCAATCAGTTAACGGCTTTGGCTAAGTATGTGAATGAGTGGAAAAAAGGAAGTTGTAGGACAATATAGAATAAGATTTCATTTTTGTTAGAAAAATATACTCATGTACTCTCACTTTAGTGTATTTAAGTAAAAAATTTAGAGGAATATATATATCAAACTCAGAGTGGTCTCTAAATGGTAGATTTTGAGGTACTTTCTACATGAAATATTTTTTAATATTTGCATTTTTTAAAGCAAAATGCATTATTATTTTTTTAAGTAAGAAAAAAGAAATGTTCATACAAGCATGCGCACGTTTACAGGTTTACGAAGCCCAGGAAGCAGGGACCTAGGTTCTCACAAACACCCACAAAGCTGTCCACAGCTGTGGCATGAGATCTTTCTTAACCAAATCCTTCTCCTGCCATCCTCTCACTTCCCGCAGGCCCGCTGATGCCTCCGAGTTGCCAGCATGAGTTACCTAAGGCCCTTTTCCGGAGCAGGGCATGGCCTGGGAAGTGGCTGAGTGGGGACAGCAGCTCGGGGGCCCCTCCCTAGCCCTGGCCAGCACAGTCCTGGCAGTGCTGAGTGAACGCACATTGCAGGGGGAGCCTGCTCTGCAGCAGAGGAGTGGACAGCCTGAGGCTGGGGGGCCCAAGAGCAGAGAACCCCATCCCAGGGGGCTGAATCTAAAGGAAATGGGTACCATTACCCACATGGGGAAGCCACGCAGCCCCCCACTTACCTCCAGGGTTCTAGCATGTGCCAACATCTGCGGCAATCTCTGAATCTCGTTTTCACTGATGTCGAGAGTCCGCAAGCTTCGAAGTTCCCCCAAGGAGTCTGGGAGCTCCTTCAGCTTGTTGTCTGGAGAGATCCCAATGGCACAGATCAGCACCCCACAGCCCCTTCCCCAGTTTCCTGCCCGACACCCACTCGGACTCAGCAGGAGGTGGGTGCCTCACTCTCACCCTGGGACTTGTGCCACATCCTGGAACCTGACTCCCTGAGGAAGAACATGACAGTGGAGCTTCAGGGACCTGGGTTTGGGTTCCCACCGCACCACTTACTAGCTGAGCGACTGTGGAGACTGACTTTACCTCCTTGGGCCGTTAGCCTGCCCTCCTCCCCGTACGGCTCTGGCTCCAAGGAGTAGCAGGAACCCTCCAGGCGCCCTGCTTCGGGTCGCCATGGGGACAGGCTCACCTAGCAGGGGTCAGTCCTGTGTCTGGTGATACCCGAGGACTGGCCGCCTACATGCTCAATGGCTACAGGTGAAGCGCCCAGCGATACTGGCTGAGACAACACAGGGCTGACAGAGGATCATAAGGACCGGGCCTCCTACCTTTCACACTGAGGGTCTGGAGCTGGGTGAGGTTTCCGATGGAACGTGGGAGATAAGTCAGTCGATTCCTTTCCACGTTCAATACCTAAGAAAGAGGGAAAAATGACCTGAGAACTCACATGCAGATAACCACGTCTACCCCTGCTTCAGGCCAGGCATCATCCGGGCAGCACACACACACCTTATCTCCTCCTGACAGCCTGAGAGGAAGGTAAAGACTGTTATGATCCCATTTGACAGTCAAGAAAACTGAGGCTCAGAGGTGAAGTCATGTGTCTAGGGGAGCAAAGCCAGGCCTTGAACCCGGTTCCTGATGAGGTTCCCTCATTTACATAGGCCACAAAGTGCCCAACAATGGCCCCACAATTGAGGGAGGAAGAAGGGGACTAAGAGATCCTGGGATCTGGGTGAGACAGTGTGCCACCAGGGTTGTTATCCCAGCGTCAGGGGAAGCAAGCTGAGCTGCACAAAGGCAGTGGGACCCACACAAGGTCTTGGCCGGGGGCTGGTGGTGCCAGGAAGGAACCTGGGCTTGTCGGACCCCGAAGGCTGATGCAGCACAGTGAGGCCGACAGGACGACATGTGCGGCAGCCATTAAAAATGACGGGGCAGACGAATATTTAATGGACCAAAAGGATTGTTATGAGTTGTTGTCAGGCATCTAAAAGTTACAAAACAGTGAATGCAGCAATTCTATAAAAATGTATACAGAAGAAAAGTCCAGGAGGATTCACTGTGGCTCTGGTGGCAGTTACAACTGTCCTGCCACAGGTTCTCCACGTGACCTTGGGTGGGTCAGTCATGTCTGGGCTGCAGCCTCTTCCTCTGTAAACTGCAAAGACCACTCCCATCGCCGGCCTGTTCACTCAAATCCTTTCCTGCCTCCTCCATGTTCCAGATGGTGTGCTGGGCAGGGGTGCTGCCCTCAAGGATGCCACCTCAGTCGAGTCAGTGAACACTCAGCTAGGACTTACAGATGGCAATTAATGCTCTCTAGGAAATAAGCTGGGGTTGAGACGGAGGTGAATCAGGCAGATCTACTTCGCGAGGCCAGGGAGGGTTCTCAGGGACATGAGCTCTTGACCAGAATGCAGAGCTGTGCGGAGGCACGTGTGTATGCAGTGGGGCGCAGGAGGCCAGAAAGGTTTTAGGAGCTGGTGTCAGGGAACAAAGGGGAGAGGGTGGGAGAGGAGGCTGGGAAGACAGGGGGGCCCATCAGGTAGGGTCCGAGGGGGCACAGAGGCGGATGGATTTTATCTCTGTGCATGACGGAAAGCTGCTGCTTCCTCTCCCAAAGGGGGATCATGCTAACACCTGCCTCGCCGGGAGGCCCTGAGGAACCCACAGGTGATGCAAGGGGATGCTTGGCTCAGAGCTGGCGTAGTGAGCACCCAAATGTAGGGGCGACTACTGGCAAGGACTGGAAGTGAGAGGATGGGTCAGAGTGCTGAGTTTATTGTTTTGAAGAGGCAGATTCGCCAGGTGCTCTTTTTCTGAATGTAATAATGAGGTAGGCAGGGACATGAGACAAGCATCATGGTTAATTTTTCCTGCCTATGATGAAAAATACCGATATATAAATGGTACAGTAAGAACAGGAGGGCCTCCATCTTAAGGCTAAGATTCCATTTTAAAAACCAGGGAGCTAGGAGGTAAGGTTCCTAACATATTTTATGGTAATCAGCCAATAACCGACCCTTTCTTAAGGCAGGGCGAGCAGTCCGAAATGATATGTCCCAGCGCTTGAGGGTAATAACCACCATCTTGGAGAAGAACAGGATCAAGAAATTCCTTATGTTAAGTTTAGCTTACAGAATATCTAGAAGCCAGGCTGTGGATGGTGACATAATGTCTCTCACTGGAAACAGACATCATGAGACCACATGTCAAGCCTATGCCCCCTGGCCCTTTGCCCCGTTCTTGAAAGCCTTAAAAGACAAAATCCTAAGCCTTTCGGCACCCTCCTCTGTGAGGGTGCCCACTCCCCTTTCTTCAAGTGTGCACTTTATCAAAAATAAAGCCTTCTTGCTGTTCAACTTACTGCATTTTGTCTCTGCGCATTTCCAGGCCTCTTGGGAGGTTAATAAGAGACCCTTTCCCCAGTGGTAAGACTTTGCTATTTCATTCAATTTTCTACACTTAAGCACAGGTCTTCATACTCTCTCTGTCCTACTTCAGACAAGCAGGGAGGGGCTACTAAGATCTCTGATTTGGGCCTGCAAGCTCCCGTCGCCTGGGTGACCCAGACGGGACTGCGGCTGTGTGACCAAGCTCCTGAGCAGCCTGCTTGAAATCTCCTTTCTTTGCCTTTGGGAAGTTCTAGGAACGTAATCTAACTCCATCCAGTGCTCTGTGGCTCCCCCAAATCCTGGGGTGGTGGATGATTAGTTTTCATACTGTGCAGATTCAAACGGACAAGGGACACCAGGTGACCCCGGCTTCAGGAGTTGGCAAGGGATATGCCCTGCGCTGAGCAGTTCATGGACTTCCCGTCCCTTCCTCTGCTTTCCCTCGCTCTCTTCTGCCTGCGCGGCTGCTGCCATTTGGTCCTGCTCTCGCTTTAATGAATTCCTTCCTCACCTACACTCGTCTGACCTGTTTGATAATTCTTTCTTGACCAGAATCAAGAACAGTCCCCCACCCAGGCAGAGGTTTCCCCTAATGCATAGGGAGAGACCTCCCCGGATGCAGCTGCCTCAGAATTTAGAAGTACATGAAGAAATCCCCAACACACATGCTAAACGTATGGTAGAGAGACACCCACAGCTCAGACTGCAACAGCAGGGGGGTCACTGGGTGTCCCCAAAGCAGAAGGGTATGGGGAGCTGGCCCCAAGTACAGCCCTGTCTAACGCACAACCAGAACATTCCAGGCAGGCATGACTGCGACATCTCACGTGGACAATCAGAGCTGGGTTTTCTGTTTCCTGCTGCCTTACCTGCAGAGCTGTCAGCTGCCCGATATCGTCAGGAAGGGCTGTCAGCTGATTATCGTGAAGATCCAGAACCTGCACAAGGAAGACCAGCTTAACCTCCAAGGGGCACCAACCTGGAAGCCCCTCAGAATTCAGGCTCCAGAGAGGCAAGAAGATGCTGGGATGCGGGAGCCCTCACACCTCCGGGTTGAAACAAAGAGCACCAACCCTCCCCGTCCAACTCAGTGAGCAGCCCATTTCATTTCCTTTTTTAACACATTATACCATTTCATCCTTTCATCAAATGTCTTAAACTGTTGAGTAAAAAAAGTATATGCTATAAAATTGCATGCAGAGATATGCATATGTTAAAAGGAAATCTCCCCCATAGGATAAGTATATATTTCCCTAGAAAAAGACTACCAAATGTGCAATAAAATGTTGATAATGGTTCTCTGGAGTGTGAAATTACATACATTTTTTTCTTCTTTTCCTTACTTAATGGTGTTTGCTAAATTTTTAAACAATGAAAATGATTGAAGAGGCACAGCAGACATGTATGTATACCTAAGTATATATATAATATACATGTATATGAAATACAAATGTACATAAATATAAGAAATGTTTTTTAAAATTTTAAGTTTTTTCCAAATGCAAAAATAATGCACGGTGGCCTGAAACAATAAAGTAAAAGCTACCACTAAGCTCCACAAAGCACAGCCGTGAAAAACACTGTGGCGCCTGTGTGCCTGTCTTTTTCTCTCTCAGTGTGTATCCTTACGGTCCCAGCTCAGGTGCGCGTGGAACAACCCTGGGGCCACATCTCGCGTCTACTGTGGCTACGTCCCAGGTCCTGTCCTGGAGGGGCTGACAGGAGGGAGTCGCCGCAATCACAGGGCACTCACACATCGGCCGCGCACCGGTGTCCCTCCTGTTCCTTCCTGCTTGGGAATCAGTCTCCTGTTCACTTGATGAGACTTCACGGTTTGCCTTTCCGCCTATCAGGTAAGCTCCCCGAAGGCAGGGCCAGTGGCTGGTTATCCTTGTAACCCCACCCAAGCACAGTGCATAGAAGGTGCCCAGCAAACTATGCCAGTCAGGCCCCAGGTTCAGGATTATGTTAGACCCGTCTGGCATGAACGTTAACAGAGCTGATGAGAAGGGAACAGGGATGCTCAGCTGCCACCCGGAGCACTAGGTGGAACCCCTGACGCTTAGGAGGAGGGCCACAGTACCTTGATGGTTGCCAGACTCAGCAGGCTGCAGGATTTAGGAAGCAGGGAAGTGAGGTGATTCATGTGGACGATCAACACCTGTGTGGAAAAGACGTGCAGCAAGTAAGGCGGAGGAAGAGCCGCAGGAAGGGAAGCCTGAAGGCAGTGCAGGCAACCCGGCACAAGCGACACAGTGGCCCGCCCTGTCCCCCCACTTCTTTGCTCTCCCAGACGCTGCAATGGGATGTGCTTCAGAGTCATGGTGTCTCTGAAAGTGGAATCACATGACCTTAAAGCCTGGAACTTCAAGGGTGAAAGGAACCTTAGAGGTCTAATTCTACCTTCCCTCCTGAGAAGGGATCCCCGTGGAGTTGCCCTAACCTTAACCTCCCACGGCTTCAGCGTCTTCATATGGAAAACAGAGAATGATAAAGTACCTGGGTCTGAGGGCTGCCACAGGATTAACGAGCTAACGGGCAAGCACTAAGCCCAGGGCTGAGGCTGTGTTGTCTACCGCTACTTTGGTTAGGCATCGACCCCTGCATGGATGCTTCTAGTGTCAAGGAGCTGGAAGGGAAAACTTTTTACCTACCTGCATTCAGATAATTCACTTAGGATACTCTCACTTATCTACATTCAAAGTTGCAATGCCTTTCTGAAAAATCATCCAGTCCACTCTTATTTCCTCTGCGTGACCAGAATGAAATGAATGTGGTTTTTTTGATTGACAGTGAGGTCAGTGTTTACCATGTGACAGGCATCATATTTGGTGTATTTACATCCCTACCTATCTACCTATCTGCCTATCTATGTCTCTGTCACACAATTCATTCTCCCAATACCTCTGTGAGAGTGGAACTGTGAATGTCTTCATTTCGTAGATGAAGGAACTGAGATGTAAGAGTTTAAGGAAGTTGCCCAAGTCAAGAGGGGCAAAAGCCAGAATGTGACCCAGGGTCATCTGACACCAAAGCCTATTCTCCTAACTGTGAAAACACCTGCTGCAGCTGATAGGGTGAGAATCAGAGAGGAGAGATGTCCATGCCATGAAGGCAGCTCCTAAAAGTGCCACCTGATTTCCAACAAGCAAACATGCCATAAACAATTCTCTGAAAATGAAGACGCATCTCACCTTCTTCTGTAAAACTTTGCATGTTGCAAAAGCCCCAAACGGAATCTAAGATAAGATAAAGAAGAGTCAGTGTCTCCCTTCCCACCAGTTTTTGGTTTCTGAGTGGCACACACATGAGGGAGAGGTGGGGCGGGAGGTGTACAAGTGCAAACATGCTGATGTGGAGAAGGGTGCTAAGCCGGGGGAAGGCTGGGGAGGGGTGCTGCCGGGCACATGGCTGGCCCTCCCTTCCCATCGGCTGGCAAGAGGCTGCCTGCCCAGCCCTAGCCCACCCGTGCCATCCCCATAGTGAACTCCCTCAGGGGCAAAAGAAAGCTTTCTGGTGCTTTGTAGAGGCTGGAGAATCCCATACTCTCCCAAACCTCAGGGATCTGGGGATACATTTCCTAGACTCCTTTCCTTGATTTTTGAAGACTTGGTTGAGGCCAAAGACTGTCTCAATTCTTTTGGACAAGAACAAAATCTGAGGAAACATCTCTTGACTAGTGCTTCTGGTCTTTTTAAACCCCAGACACATCCACTTTCCCCAGGGACACATGATCCAAGAAAAAAGGACAGATCAAATCCACAACCAGCGTGCCACCCCAGTTTACCTCTGAGAGCTCACATTTAGAGATGTCGAGAATGTCATCTGCCCCGGCTTCTTTTGCCTGAGGATAAAAAGAATAATTAAAAAAAAAGTGTTCAAACAAAATACCCTTGCAGAGTAGATGAACCAGACAAAAAGACATAGGGTTAGGAATTGTAAGGGACCACAGACACCATCTGATCCAACTAGTCCATTTGGCGGGTGGGCCATCACCCCTGCTTTAATGGGGCTGGAGGGCCAGCATGGAAGAGCAAATGAACAAGTAATGGCGATTGTGACCAGTCTGTGGAGGGAAGTGCAGGGCATTCCTGAGCACTAGACGGGTGGCCTCCTCAGTCTGTTCTGAGAGATTTCCTCCGGGGATGTGAAGGCAGATGGGAGGAGCAGGGCTTGTTTAGGGACAGTGCAGAGCCCTTTTTCATGGGGCGGAGGCGGAAAGGCAGATGGACTCAGAGGAAACCCATGTTCCTCACCACGCACATCTGGTACTCCAGGCGCTTCCGAGCCTCTTCACTAGGTTTCCGCTTCCGGAAGAAAAGCGGCATCCTTCCTTGTTCTGGAGCAATGTTCACAGACACTAGGGCATAGGAGAGAAGTTAGGGCCCGGGGAGTTCGTCACACCCAGGACAGATAGCACGGTAATGAGAGCATGTAGCTGATCTGCTCAACTGGAAGTTTCCTGAGGGCAAGGGCCTCTTGACCATCAATCCATGCTATGAGGCTGGTACGGCAGGTCTGTTCCAAAGATGCTCTTGGAGGACTAGTAGATTAGGGTGATGGAACACTTTTAGTGCCCCTGAAGCACTGTCAGGGTGGCATTAGCAAAGCAAACATGCCATGGCATCAGCCAGCCATGACCTTGGGGAGCTCAACTGCACCATAAGCAGAGATGTCAGAGTTAAATAAGAACTCAAAAGCAATCCTAAGGCACCTTACCACTCTCCTAGTTATTGTTCCCTTTGATTCTCCACACAGCCCTGTTTATATTAACAAACTGACGCTCACTGAGTTCAGTGATCTGGTTATGCAGCCTGGATTATAGCCAAACCAGTCTGAAACTCTGCAAATCCTGATCCTGTGGAGCTGGGGCTCAAGTAATGCAGCACACCCTAAGTACGCTGTCCTGAAATCAGGAGCCAGGTTCGTACTGCCTGCCCAGGATCTGCGAACATCAGTGATCCACCCAGGGACACTGATAAGCCAGGAAGCAACCCAGGGGAACTCACGGTTAACAGCATGGGCTCTGGGATGAGGTATAACTCGGTTTGAACCCCAGGCCTGTTACCCACCAACCATGTCATCTTGGCTCACCTGAGCCTCAGTTTCCTCATCTGTGAAGTGAGTGATGTTACCAACACTGGGTTCTGTGAGGACCCAGTGATTTCATATATGTAAAGCCTATCGCACAGTACCTGGCACATAATGAGTGCTCAATAAAGGTTAGCCACAGAGCGCCACACATCTAACGCCTTTATGCAGAGCAAACTACATTTTAAGGAGCTAGGAAGAAGAGGGCTAGGGAGGAGACACCCAGGCCTCAGGAGGAGTGGTGAGATCGCAGGTCTCCGCCCAGAGGGGCGTGGGCTGTCTGGGGAGCCAGCCAAGCCTGCAGAGCTGGCTCAGGCCCCTCTTGTCATTTCACCTGTCTGGGGGGATGGGGACCAGTCTAAAAACATCTCTCCCTCATTCCTCCCTGATGACAAGCTCTTACCCTTCTGCTCCCCAATGACCAGCCCTCCCTCATCCCCTTCCGCAAGTCCAGCCCTCCCCACCTTCTCCATCCCTCCCAGAAGATCAGTTCTTCCTAACCTGCTTTCTTACGCCTCATCCATCCCGCCGACCCCGACTTCCAGCCCTGGCTGGAGTGCGGAATGACCGACCTGGCTTTGTGGGTGGACGGGTCCCAGACGTTAGTTCCCTCGAGTGGAGCTGAAGGCAGGCAGATCACTCATAGGGCTTGGTCAGGGACGCCGGGTGGCAGACCACCCGGCACGGCCCCGGCGGAGCCGAGGTCTGGTCTCCTCCAAACGCAGGAGCTGGGGACCGAAACAGAATCTCAGGAAGTCCTGCAGACCGGCATGACGAAGTCTGTGACTGGGAACCTCAGAATCTTAGAACAGAGTTGGACAGCATTTAGACCGGAATAAAATTGTTCTAATAACCCAAACGCACACAGTACGAGGGGGCTGAAAGGGGGCCCAGGGTCGCCCTGGCCGTGGGGTCTCGTTAGCGGGGTGCAGACCCCTCAGGGGAGGGGCGGGGCTCCGGGAGCGGGTGATAGGGACCACAGGGTGACCCTCACGGTAGGGAGAGCGGAGAGCAGCAGGGCGTGGGAGCAACCCTCTCTTGTCTGCCTCCCCTAGGCGAATTGCCCCGAACCCCCCTTCTGAGCCCCTAGCTACTGCTCACCGCGGTGCCGGGCTCTCCAGCGTCAGTCTCAGGAGCCTGCCCACAAGCAACATGGCGGCATGGGCGTCGCTACGAGGCTGGGCGGAGACTGCGGTTCTCGCGAGAACCTCGTTTTCCTGCCTATATCCGGCGTAGTCTGACGGCCTTCCGTCTTTCGGCTCGGAGGAGGCAAAGGTGCAACTTGTTTCGGTCGTCCCGAATCCGGGTTCATCCGACACCAGCCGCCTCCACCATGCCGCCTAAGTTCGACCCCAACGAGATCAAAGTCGGTGCGTGCTTTAGATGTGGCCGGGGCTGTGGATGGAGCATCCCTCTTCCTCGCAGCCCATCGGGCCGGCGGTCCCCGCCCCAGGTGCCTTTTCCACTTCGGGCTTTAAAGCTGCTGCCTACTAACGGTCTCGCCAGTGCTGCGTTCTGGCGCCGTGAAGGCCTGGCCGAGTCTCACTCTTTCTGGGCCTCAGTTTCCCCATGTGCGAGTGGGGAGGGAGGACCGGACGACCTGCGGCGGCTTTGCAGCCCGCATGCCTTAGGGTAAGGTGTGTCTCCTGGCGCTTCCCTGCAGGCTGGGTTGGCTGGCGGCCCGACTTCCTCCACGCCGCCCGGTGTGGGCCGCGGCACCCGTAGCCGAGCTGAAGGCTGGTGTCCCCACGTGGCGCTTGGAGCGGCCCGCGCCCAAAGAGGACGGGGCGTTCGGCCTCGCTCCCCGCTGTGGCTCTTGCTGCCAAAAGAAGGCAAAAGGTGGTGTGGAAAGAGGACTATGGGGCTTGTTTTGCAGAGGCACTATACTTTTTTTCCTCACAGTATACCTGAGGTGCACCGGTGGGGAAGTCGGTGCCACGTCTGCCCTGGCCCCCAAGATCGGCCCCTTGGGTCTGGTAAGTCAACCTTGTTGGAGGATTAACCTACAGGAGAGCAGTTAAGCTTCGGCTTGTGTAAACGACTATGAGGTGCCGTTGACGGTGATGCATTGCCATCTCCAGTAGATCTGAGCCACTGAACTGGCACTAGGTGCCACAGAAAGGTTACATATGGAAATTGGACATAAAAGGGTTACTTGAAGCTGTAATTTAATCTGCAGTGTCTCTTAACTGCTGCTTTTGTTGTACCTAATAGGCTAGAGGAGGTCACGCGGGGGGGAGTTTTGAATCCAGTGACTTAGTGACACTGGAAAGCCCCAAGAGCCCGTTTCCTAGTCCAGGAGGTAGACATATCACTGGATTAAATGGGGTGTGGGTGAAGGTCATGGTGAACATTCAGAGCGTGTTATTTCCAATTACACTGTAAACCTACTGGTTAATAGGACTAGCTTTAGTCACCTGTTGTCCCTTCCATTTTGTACTCTTCGTTGAACATGTATTTTCCTGAATATCATTAGGCCTTTATTCCTTGGACAGGGGTCTCCTGTCCCAAACGCTTTCACATTGGCCTTAAACTAGTGTCCTACTCATCCTTGGCCCTCAGCTCAGCCGGCGCTTACTAGACATTTCTGTTTAGGCTGCTGGTCACTAGGAAATTCTAAAGTAGCAAATACAGATTAACTTGGTTGAGCTGACCAGATTTGGTATATTTAAAGCTCCCAGGTGTTATGAAGGAACAGACTTAACCCCTAGTCTCGTTTTCCCAGTTTACTACTGTAATAGCCATACCTTGATTTGGTATATTGAAGCGCTTCAAGTAGCTTCCTTGTGTGCTGGATAAAGGAAGGTTTTGGGCAGGATTTCAGGCTGAGCTTCAACTTAACGACACAGTGTGATCATATGCCTTTATTTCTACAGTCTCCCAAAAAGGTTGGTGATGACATTGCCAAGGCAACTGGTGATTGGAAGGGTCTGAGGATTACAGTGAAACTCACCATTCAGAACAGACAGGCCCAGGTACTCGGCTTGGGGGAGGGCAGGGGTAGCAACCCTGAGGATTCCTGGGTGGAAGGTTTTGCTGACACGGCCCCCTGCCACCAGTGATGAGCTGAGAGCCAATTTAAACGTGAAGGCTTACTTTAATGAGAGCATGGGCCAAAAACAAAAATAACGGGTCCAAATGTTAATTCTAACTTGTGTGACATTGGGCAATTCACCTAATGTCTTTAGGCCAGTTCATATTTCAGATTGTGAAAATTACTTGAGAATGTTCAGCAAGCCCAGTGTTTGGCCCACCGTCTCTGAGAGTCAGCGTACACGTTGGAGGGCAGGGGTAGAGCTTACACTGCAAATCTCTTCTGCAGATCGAGGTGGTGCCTTCTGCCTCTGCCCTGATCATCAAAGCCCTTAAGGAGCCACCAAGAGACAGAAAGAAGCAGAAAAACAGTGAGTGGCCTTTTCTTTGGTAATTTATGAGTGGAGTGGTATTGTGTCTGCAGTGTTTGATACTCAGCTCCCTATTTCTCTTTAATGAACCCTAGGGATTGCACAGGGGTTTGATGTTGGTTGTTACAGAGCCCAGCACTATAAGCTCTGTCATGTGGCTCTCCCAGTCCCTGGTGGTGGGGCAGGTCCCCTCACAGTGCAGGAAGGAGGGAACCAGGTAGGATGGAGCAACTGAGAACAATGGCCAGTAATCAGGAGAAACTATTCTGATCGGGACAACACTGAACAGCTTAATTAACCCCAGGAACCTAGCTTGTCTTTTCTCATCTCTCAAATGGATAGTCACTTCCATGCAAGATTAGCAAAGCCCTCAGGTTTTGGCCCTAGCCACCCGCCACTGCACCTGATCAGTTCTCTGTTGGCTGGTGCAATCCAGTGGTGAGCTGATACTAAACCCCAGCTTAGGAAACAGGGTTGTTCTTCATGTGGATGACTCTGTGCCGAAAGCATGGGAACAGCCTGGAAATAGATGAGGGGGAGGGCGTTATGGGGTCTGTACTGGCTTTGGTTTGTGATGAAGCTTTTGCTGTTTCTTTTTTTCTGTAGTTAAGCACAGCGGAAATATTACTTTTGATGAGATTGTAAACATTGCCCGACAGATGCGGCACCGATCTTTAGCTAGAGAACTTTCTGGTAAGAGGACATGGAACCACCTTAATTAGGGGTGTAGTCACTGAGAGGCATTTTCCTATTTGAAGGGGACTTCTCACCAAGACCCAAAGTTGGGGCCCAGTGTCTTTTGGGTTTGAAAGAGTGGTTTGAGAGCATGAAGACTTAGGGCTGGATGGTTAATCTGGGCTTCAAGGGACCCTTGGAGACCTTGCATTCAGAGTTCATGTAACTAAATGGAGCTTTGAATTTTGGATTAGGGGAGCAGAGATGTTATTTCTGGAATTCCATGAAAGAGGGATATTCTTCCTCCTCTGTCAAGTCTTTCCCCACTGGTAGATAGCAAGCAACTAAAGCTCCTCTGATGCTACCTTTTCTTAATTACAGGTACCATTAAAGAGATCCTGGGGACTGCCCAGTCTGTGGGATGCAATGTTGATGGACGTCACCCTCATGACATCATAGATGACATCAACAGTGGTGCAGTGGAATGCCCAACGGTAAGTGGCTTCTGCATCAGTTTCATTTGCTTGAAATCAGGATGAAAGCTGGATGGGAACTAATGTATTTATGGAATAAAGAAATGGTCAGTAGTGGGGTGGGGTGAAGAATTTTTGTCCTGTTACTGATAGGATTTCTTTTTTTCCCCCCAACAGAGTTAAGTACTACAAAGGAAAATGTCAATAAAGAGTAATTTGACAACCAATGAATTTTTGATTTGGCCTCTTTGGGAAGCTTACTCTGTGGTAAAATGGTAGTTGCTGGGCCAGGGTGGCAGAACCTGTGGAAGTGGCAGCTATCTGGGTAACAAGCTTGGTGAATGCAATGTCTGCTCTGTATGGACATCTGGAGTGGAAGTCCCAGGGTATTCTGTAGACACATGTTCACAGTTCTTCATAAGCAGAAATTAATGCCAGAGAGAAAACATGTTTAACATGAATACATGGGGAAGCAGCTCTCCATCTGGACCAGTTTGATCCTTAGGTGGGCTGGCCCTTTCATCTGAACCTGGGTTAGTTTGCTTTAAGCTAGTAGGACTGTTAATAGGCGTCTTTACCTTCCCCAGGTCCCCTCCTTGTTTTTCCTTAGTTCTGTTCCTATTGACTCACTTCTAAAGCTCATCACTCCCTTTTACCTCAGTAGGTGTGCTTTGAATGAAAGAATGAACCTCAAGATACCTGGGCACTGGGATGATTGATAGGCTGTATCTTAGCAGCTTAAAAGCACCATCTGAAAGGGGCTTCTGGGTCCCAGCCCAAAGGGGGTTGGCAATGAATTAGTCCAGTAACATACTGTCCCCAGCATAAGTCATTTCTTTGCTCATGTTAATTTTGTCCATAGCCCACTTGTGCAGTGTTGGAGAACTGCTTTTAGTGGAAAGAATTACCTGAGAGCTCAGGTCAGATGATAGAATAAGCATCCCAAAACATGAGCCGGGTCACCAAGGAATCAGCTTGACGCCCTTAGGTGATGATGGTTGAGGTTACAACCAGCTTTCCTTGCAAAACACCAACAACAGGGAATCTGAAATCAAATGCTTACCTAATGAAAATCCAGGGAAGCCACACAGGCGTTTCTAACTGCTGAGATGAGATCATACCAGTTGGGTGTGAGGATGTTCTTTAAGAGCCAAGAGTAGGACCCAGGTCAGTTATGAGGGAGAAAAACCAAAGAATCTGCTTCTAAAGGAACAGTTGCTTCAGCAAGAGGGAAAAGACATGAAAAATGACCCACTTGCCTGAGCCAATGAAAGGATAGCTGTCTAGGCTGTTCCTGCATTAGGATCTCCATAGAAAGGGCCGCACCTTTGAGGGGTTTTATTAGCTTCTTCCTGACACCCTCACTCCTTTTCTTGAGAGCAGTAACAAGCACTAAGGCAGTTCACAAATTGGAGATTGGGCCTCAGTGTTTTTCTGGGTGGCAGCTAGCTGTCTAGAGGCGGTTACCATCTTCGGCATTAGGGGAATGAATATCCCCCAGCTGCAATGAGATGTGTTCAGTAGTTCACTAGAATCCCTTAACTCACTTGAATTGACTCCCTCAAATCAAGATACCTCAGTGATCCCATTATGAAGAAATACTCAGTCCAGTGTTTTTAGTTATTTTGCAACAGCACTCTTCAAAGATTACTCAGCCACTGCCAGAATACTTGGACTCTTAAGTAGGAACCAAGTCCATCACTCATTGATTTGATCACTTCCTTACAAAGCAACGTTTTGAAGGGCTTGTTGGTACACAAAAAACTTGGGCCCACTGAATGAAGGTAAATTTTAGAGTAATTTGAATTGGATTGTTTATGCTCACTAAAGATGTTAAGGAGAAAGCTCCTGGGACTCCACATGCAACGGGTAAAATGGGAACTTTATTAAAGGTGCTTCTGCATGTGGCTCTGGGCTAGACTAAGATGTCTCCAGATCTTCTCAAAACTACTTGCATTCACCGGTCAGCTCCCTGTCCACTTCGGTCAGGTTCCCAGTTACTCTCCCGCATGAAGTCTCTGATGTCTAATGAAAGCTGAACTACACCTGAAGGCCTTCCCACACTCGCTACATTGGTAGGGTTTCACCCCAGAGTGAATTCTCTGATGCTGACTGAGGGATGAGCTCTGGTTAAATGCTCTTCCACATTCACTGCACTCGTAGGGTTTTTCTCCTGTGTGAATTATATGATGTCTAATAAGGGCTGAGCTCTCACTGAAGAACTTCCCACATTCATTACACTTGTATGGCTTCTCCCCAGTGTGAGTCTTTTGGTGGATGATGAGATTTGTACTTTGGCTGAAGGCCGTCCCACACTCTCTGCACTTGTAGGGTTTCTCTCCAGTGTGAGTCCTCTGATGGTTGGTAAGGTTTGCACTCTGGCTGAAGGCTTTGCCACATGTGTTACACTTGTAGGGTTTCTCCCCTGTGTGGATTCTCTGATGCTGAATAAACGCTGCACAGTAACTGAAGGCCTTCCCACACTCACTGCATTTGTAGGGCTTCTCCCCTGTGTGGGTCCTCTGGTGGTTCGTAAGATTGGCACTGTGACGGAAGGCCTTCCCACAGTCACTGCATTCATAGGGCTTCTCTCCAGTGTGAATTCGCTGGTGCTGAACTAGGGCTGAACAGTCACTGAAGGCTTTCTCACACTCAGTACACTTGTAGGGCTTTTCTCCGGTATGAGTTCGCTGGTGTTTTGTGAGGTTTGCATTCTGACTGAAGGCCCTTCCGCATTCACTGCATTTATAAGGTTTCTCTCCAGTGTGAATCCTCTGGTGCTGAATAAGAGATGAGCTCTGGCTGAAGGCCTTCCCACATTCATTGCACTCATAAGGCTTCTCCCCAGTGTGGCTCTTCTGATGCTGAGAAAGAGCAGAGCAGTAACTGAAGGCTTTGCCACATTCATTACACGTGTATGGTTTCGCTCTGTGAGGTTTAATTATATCCGAGTTTCTCCTGAAGCTCTTTGTATGTGTTTCCCATTTATGGGGTCTTACTTCTGTAGGAACTCCCTGTTGTGGAGAAAGGACTGGTCTCAGATTGAAGCTCTTCCCCAGTTCACTAGTCCTGTGATCTGACTCCCCAGGGGGCATCTCTACACCTGGGTCTTGGAATGAGTCTTCAGAAATGTCTCGCTTGGGTGGTGATTCAGATATAATCTTCCAGTCTGAAAAAATTTAGAAAAGCAATTTTTTTTCCTTTGGTGGAAGAAAAGATACTAGTGAAATACAAAAGACTGAAGGAATTTGGCTGAGCTCCTAGGCACACAAGTTTGATGCTCACCCTTTTCACTCAGAACATTTATTTCACATTTGTCTTAAACCATAAATAATGCCCAAGATGGCTCTTCAGAGACATTAGCATTCTTTACTCCCTTTCCTAAACTACAAAGGGATGAAGTTTGCCCTAATCCTCCACCTCAGATGCAGTACTCCTTCCTTCTGACACTTCTCTGCTTCCTCAAGAATTGGGTAGCCTCAAGCTATCTTCTTAGTCTCACAATTCTCTGGTTTTGGGCAATCTGCTTACCAGGTTTAAATAATTCATTTTAAAAAGCTGATGACCAATGTCAGCAAGATGAAATTTTCACCTATCAGCAAGACTGCAAGCAGTGGTTACTTCCTGGAGCATTAGGAAGGGTGCAGCATCATGGGCTATCTGTGTGGGGCAGCTGCAGAAACTGGAGTGGCCTTTCTGGAGAGCAATCTGGCTGCACATGTCAGAAGTCCTTAAGACACTGACATCAGAATTCTGTTTGTAAGAATTTATCCTAGAGAACTATCTTAAGAAATTACACAATGCTGTGTTGACAGAGATGCTCACCATAACATCATTTGTCAAATGAAAAGCAAGCCCTTAAATGTTTAATTAACAATAAGGGAATGGCCATAGTATAGCCAATCAAGGGACACTACTTAGCAATGATAAGTCATCTTTAAAATCTGTGCGCTTGAATTCCTTTTGTACAGAGGTATTTATTAAAAAAACATGGAAGATACACAATGGGAATGCAAGTGCTGCTATCTTTGGGTTGTGGGATTAGGGGTGATTTTCACTTTCTCCAGTGCTAATCTCTTCTCTAATGCTCTCCAGTGACAGTACTGTAAATTATAAAAAGAATGCTTTCAAAGAGTATGCACTGATAAAACGGAAAATACTGTTACCTCAATTTTAGAAAAACTCATTACTATATTTTATACAAAGACTGAAGATACCTCTGTGTGGTGGGAAGATAGAGGATCTTGATTTTCTTTTTTATTCTTTTCCAAACTCTAACTTGTGTTATTTTACTAGATAGAATTATTTTAAATAGAACAAAAACATTGCTTTTATAGTTGGAAGATAGATATTTTCAGAAAGAAGAGTTAATGAGTCTTAACCCTTTTTGGGACTGCATGCATTTTAAGAGAAAACCTTAAAATTATTGGGAAAATGTTACAACTAAGTGAATAGGGCCCTGGACACTTCCTTCTGTCTCCTCTACAGGGGCTAGTCAGTAAGGAAGTGGAGTTTTAGGGAGGGCTACAAAGCTTCTTTTCACAAGGGTCAACTGTCCTGAAGAAATTCTTCCTGTTTCTACCTTATTTCTCAGGACAGAATTATCAGGGTTAGTTCTAGGAACTCTTTATTTGAATTTCTATCACCCAGACTGCCTGGCTCCACCTCTTGCTAGCTGTGCGACTTTGGGAAAATTATTTAATCTTTCTGTGCCTTGGATTTATTATCTATGAATGTAGCAAACTCACAGAATTACTGTGAGGATTGAAATGAATTAAAAATCTGAGGACTCAGAAGGGCACCTGAGGAATAATTAAGTGTTACGTAAGTGCTTGTTGTTATCTTGGACCTTTTCCTTGTAAACCATCTCAAGAGGTTTCCAGTAAGCAGACTTCCTGCCACGGTGCACGTGCACACGAGAGCCCAGTCTACTGACAGCACAGCAGCCCCACTTCAGGTTGAGACCATCTCCATGCAACTTGGTATTTGATCATGTATGGTTTTGGTGGCTCTCAAAAACCGACCATCTATCTGAGTAGAACATGGGAAGAGGAGGAAAAGTGACAAGAAAAACAGCAGCGGGAGGAAGGAGCAATTCAGACCACTTGATGCTCGTGATTGTCATAGTTCAGCCTGCCTCCCCTGAGCACTGGCTCTGTATAAGACTGTCTAATGACATCCCAAACCAGATATACCCACAACCACTGACTTTCCCTTTCAAGCCAGTGTCTTTGTCAATTTTCCCATTCACCCAGCTGCTGAGGCCAGGGTCACCCTTACCGCCTTCACCCCTCACATCCAGTTCACTAGTGAATCCTGTTGGCTTTAACAACCAAATATTTCCGGAATCCTTCTTACCAGCCACCATCATCTCTCACTGGAGTGTCAGCAACAGACTCCTGACTGATCTCCCTGCTTCTACTCTTGAACCTTGAAAGTCTATTCTCCATGCACCTGCTGAGTTATCTTTCTAAACACAAACCACATATTGCACCTTCTCTACTCAAAACCCTCAACGGCTTATCTGAATAAAATCTGAATGCCTACTATTGCCTCACTTACCACCGCCTCTTGCTTACTGAGTCCTGGAGTGTTCTGATCCTAACAGCCAGATTCATTCCCAGTTCGGAGCCCTAACACGTGCTGTGGCCAGAATGTTCCTCCCCCAGATGCTCATGCGGCTGGCTGGCTCATTCTCTTCCTTCAGGTCTTGGCTCCAGTGTCACCTCCTTAGTCACCTCTTTGCTAGTCACCTGACCTAAAGTAAAACAGTCCCCTGCCCCCATCCCTATTCCCATTCTCACCTTTGAACCCCCAGTCACTATTCCCTTATCCTGCTTTGTTTTCTTCACAGTACTTGCCACTATCCAGTATTGCATCACTTATTTTGTTTAATCATTTTATTTCACGTTCCTCACTAGGATGTAAGCAGGGACTATGTCTTGCTCTCTCTTGTACCTCCAGTAGCTAAAACAATGCCAGGCATGTAACAAATGCTTAATGCACATTTAGTGACTGAGTGATGAGCAAAATGAATGAGAATGAGGCAAACTGACCAGCTGGGTCTGGGGAAATGTCAGCATCCACAACAGAAGTTCCCAAAGCAAGCAGTGAGGCGAAAGGTACTTCAAAGACTGGGTGGGTCTGACATTGTGGGAAGGGTAGGATGAGATGATGGAGGCCAAGTGATACCCAGGATGCCTGACAATCTCAGAGCAGAAGCTCAACACAACAGAAGCTGTGTATTGAGCAGCCAGGTTTAAAACTTTTCTTAAACTACTTCTCAATCATACAGCGAATACAGGACTCCATAGTTGTCAATTTTTTTCATATATATTAGTTTGTAAAATAAACAGGATTTTGTCCACATTTTTCAGATATAAAAATAGATGACAACATAACCTAATGATTTGCTCTGAATCCATATAGTTAGTAAGAAGCCAGGACCTGAATGCCTGTCTTTCATGGGTCCATATCCAAAGTAGCTTCTATACCAATACCCTACCCCTACAGTAGCACCTCAGAGCAAAGACCCTTGGAATTAACAACCTTTCCCAACTTCTGTTTCTAGAGACATGGTGATTTGAACCTTTCTGAGGAAACTTTTTAGGATCTTGAACCCCTCTGAAACTGTGATGAAAACTTTTTCCAGAAAATGCAGTTACTGCCCTAGCCGTAAAACACTGCACTCAGTCTCTGAAGTTCCACACGGGGCGTATGGCCCAGGTTAAAAGGCCCTGCGTAACACGTATGGTATGTTGAGAAAAGGGCTGGGTAGGAGGGTCGCACTTGGAAGAAGGAAGCAGCAGGGCTAGGGAGGCTCACAGAAGGCAGTGTTTCAGCAAGTCTGAGTGGTGTCCACGGGAAGGAGGGCTGAGGGAGCATGTGATGGACGGCTTAGAAGGTGAGAATGGGAAGGGGGTGACAGTGCAGAGGAACCATGCAGAAAATAAGCCACAGGCTTTGTTTTCATTGCTCAACAGTATCAATAACAGGTAACTAAAGATATAAAGCATTAGGCAGCATTTGTAGGAAGATTTAAAACTTTGTCACCTTAAAGTTGTTAAGTTCATTTAGACCTCTGATGCTTTAAGTTTCAAAATATCTAACGTGGCTAGGTCTACAGGGAAAAGCTGAGTCCATGCCAGAGGTCACATATCACGGCTGAAACACGAAGGTGGAGGTGGAGCGAGCAGCCTTAGAGGAGCAGCAAGAGATAAGCACAGACACTGCTGTTTCCCTTTTGTTTTTCCTGAGGTTCTCGGTATTAGCCCTTTAGAAAATTCCGACATGGCCACATAGAAGGAGAGAAGGGGCAGGGTTGGGGAGGATTGGGTGGTGGTGGGAAATCCAACTAAGGGCCAGGGAGGTAGGTGACAGGAGCAGTAGGTGACAGGGTGTCTCAGCTCACAGCTGGAGGTATGGGTAGGGTGGGCACCTGAGATCTTCAGTGATGTGAGCATGTGCTAGGCCAACAATACCACCTGTGCCCCCCAACATCTCCCAGCCTAGGAGATGGAATGGTGGGCTGTGGAGTCAGATAAATCTCGCTTCACACCCAAGCCTCACCATTTTCTAGCTGTAAGGCTCTGAACCAGTAAGTTAGCTTCGTTCAGCTTTAACTTCCTCATCTGTAAAATGGGGATGATATCTACCTCATGGCAGGTATAATCAAATGCACTAATGTGTCTTAAAGGGGCTTTTGCTCTCAAGACTCACTGGCTTAGTGCTGCTCACCTGCCTGGATAGCTACTCCTTAGGCTTCCTCCCTCCAGCATCCAGGAGCCTTTCCTTTGTTCCAGCTGGGGGTTCATGCCAGGCTGGGAAACTGGAAGTCCTATCCAAGTGGGGAAGATGGGCTTTAGAGACTTATACTGAGTATGAATAGCCACCCAGAACTCAGGCTGTGGAAAGAGGCCAGTCAGGTCATTCATATCATTCATTCCAGAAATGTTTACTGAGAACTTCTTGGTGCTGGGCACTAGGGGATACAGCAGTAAATAAGACACAGTGCCAAGGCCTTGGTAAAGCATTTCTGGAAGGAATTACGGAAATAGCCTCAAGGAAGGGTCAAGCCCAGGAGTTAATCCAAGCCCCAAAGCAAGCTACTTAGGAAGACAGGAACTTACTGAATATGGAGGACTGGCCTGAAGGTCATCCCACCAGTCCTGGGCAATGAGAAAACAGGGAGGTGAGCAAAACGAAACTGCCTCTTTCCCAACTGGATGCAGAGATCTTTCACTAGGGAATGAGGAGGAATAAATATCCCCCATGCTCTGTTAGAGCAATAAGGATCACGTGACACTGGGAAGTGCCACAGATGTTCAGGACTGAGGAGATTCTGAATTTTACATGGTTTCCTTACCCAGTAGGACCAGGTTCCTGGACTTTTCCAGTATCCCCTCCTTGAACCTGTCCCTCAGAGCAGGGACCAGGTGCCGCCATCCCTCCTGGGTAAAAGCTGCAGTCATGCTGCCAAAGGCCTTGGGTCCCTGAAACAACAAGCACATTCCTTCTCACCCAGCAGGCCAGCAGGCCTACAAAGGGTCTTTGAAAGGATTCAGGTTTTCTACAATGAATATGATTTTTTTTGTAATGAAAAAAACAAACACTCAAAAAATAAAAAAAAGGCTGCCTCTAAGAGTAAATTTCCAACTTACATGGGGCCCAGCGGTGAGGAGACAAGCTGTCATTGCTACATCTCTTGTGCTTTCCTCTTTGGGGAGGGCAGCATCTGGAGAAGGTAGCTCTGAAGGAAGAGAGAGAAACCAATGAGGCATAAAAGTTTACAGCTCCCCAACCAGAAAATCTCACATTCTCATTCTGAAGGGGGAGTTCAAAGGACATTGCTGGTTCCAGGGCATTCAGGCTGAATCTGCAGACCTGAGTGGGATGTATATTTTCCCATCCCCCTTTCTACCTGAGAAATACCATCAATTTACTCAGATGTAGGGAGTCATTAGAGTGTAACAGACTCTTAAGTATGCCGGATCCAGCAGTATGCAAATCATGTAACCTTCTTAAGTCTCATTTTTCTCATCTGTAAAATGGAGATAATAATGGCTTGTAAAGTTGCTGTAAAGATTATAAGAAAAATGCAGAAAAAGCAGTTGGCACATGCCTGGTATGTAAATATACAGTTTACAAATATTACCTATTTCTTAGTTCTTTGGAGAAAGCAGCTCTGTAAATTTAAAACATTTCTTAATCAAAAGAGGTAATGACCAGGTGGGATTCAATCTAGGAATTCAAGGTTGGTTCAACATATGAAAACCAGTCTACATGATACAGCATATTAATATAAAGGAAAAAACTCCACACGATCATCTCAATTAACACTGAAACGGCCATTTTACAAAATCTGACACCTTTCACAATTAAACACACTCAAAAAACAAGGAATAGAATTTCTTCAACTTGATAAAAGGTATCTAAAAAAACCCAGAGCTAACACCACACTTTATGGTGAAAGACTGATGCTTTCCCCTAATATGAGGAACAAGACAAGATACCTGCTCTTACCACTTCTATTCAGTGTTACACTGGAGGTTCTGGGCAGAGAAATTAAGCAGGAAAGAAAGGAAAGGCAAGCAGGCAGGCAGGCATCCAGGCTGGAAAGGAACAAGTAAAACTATCACTGTTTGTAGATGACACGTATTTTGTAGACAAAAAATTCTAAGGAATCCACACACAAAGAAACTACCACAGTGAAACAAGTTCACTAAGGTTGCAGGCTATAAGATGAATATACGAAAAAAGCCCAGTAAAAATGAGCAAAGGGTTTGAATAACCTTTTTCCAACTGTACTTCTATATGCTAGTGATGAACAATCCAAAAATGAAATTAAAACAATTTCACTTA